GCTTACCATGTATCTTTAATCAAAAGTCCACATTTCGACGTTAAACGGAAGTGCCCACGGACTGTTATGAAATGTAGACAGTTGCTGGTTCAGGCACAGGTAGATACAGCCTATGTATACTTGTGCTGGCGCACACGGCGCGAGAAATACAATGCACACTCCACCCGTCTCTACCTGGTCTGGCAACTGTCTACTGCCGCCAACTCACAACAGTTCCTGTACCGGCCCCGTCATCGCCAAGATGTGGGCTATAATTCTCAACAGATAAATAGAAGGGGAAACCTTGTACTACGTGCTAAATTGATCCCACGAATACGAATGAGGTTATTTAGCGTTACACTCCATCAAATCCTCTTCTCTAAGACTTACTAGTGAGAATGGTTGTGGTTGGTATAATTCAGGTAATCATTGCTGATGAGATTAAAAGGGGGAAGTACATAATATCCTTCGATCCGCTCAACGGGTCCTCCCAGATCGACAGCACGGCTCCTATGGGTGAGTTACTCGCTTCCGTAAATACAAATTAGTAGTAGTGAACTGAATCAGTAATGGGTAAACTATTCTCGTGTCTTTATGTTGTTTCCCTTTTTAGGTGTGATTTCGGAGTCTGGGAGAAACTCACCGATGGAATGACTGCTGCTACGAATGACGATTTCATGCAACCGGGCAGGTGAGCAAGGCAATTCAATGTATTGCATCATTATTAGTAATGTGATTTTGTACACCAGTTCCATGGTGGTTATTGTATTTATGGTTCATCAACAATGGTAATTCTTTCTACGGGAAGCGGTGTAGACGGTTTCACTCTTGATCCTGGTAGGTTTTTCCTTACGTTACTTCACTTCTCTACTCAAAGGCAGTGGGCACAATGGCTGGGGGTGGGGGTAACTTCCAAAGTCATTGGTGGTAGTGCGAGAAGAATTTGACATACCCCGCTCACCCATTTCATTAGTAAGGTTGCTAGCCGCCCGCCGTCAGCGGTCGCACCTACTGCCCTTAAGATTCATGAACGTGAGTGAAGTGAGGGTGGGAAGGAGGAGTAGTGTTTGCCACCTAGGGGAGCATCTGATGGGTAAATCCAGATAACCACCCAATAAACTCCCGATCCGCTGCTCGTATGTAACTTTTATTCGTAAGTAATCGATGCTGAATACATGAGGCATAAAGGAATTTATTGCAGAGCATTGGGGAATTCATACTCACACATTCTAAGATACACCTTCCTAACAAAGGAAAGATCTACAGCATCAAGTGAGGGACACGCAAAGTACTGGTCGGAGAGACTTGCTCTCTATATCCATGACAGGAAGTTCCCACCGGTAAGCAGATTTTTGTTAGGAAATCCTGGTTCTAATAGGTTACCTTGTCGTTTGTTAAGGAATCCTATTATATCCTGTTGTATCCTGTTGTTTCCTGTTGTAACTCGTTACCTTGTGTTCTTTTCGGTTGTTGCGCGTTTAGACGTGTTCGGCCACGGTGACGGCTAAGGTGGGTATAAAAGGCCCAAGAACCACGTGGCGTCCCTTCCTTGGCTTTCCCTTCCTGATCCCTTCGCTTCCCGATCTCTCTCTCTCTCTTTCATTATTTTTAATTTCGGTTTGTATTACCTCGCCGAATTCCTCTACTGGTTTCTGTTTATACGCTCGGACGTTATCTATTGGAATTGTTTTGTGTATTCCCTAGTTGGATATTGTTTGGTCGACCGTTTGTCTGTTCTTGTATTTCGGACATTGCTTATTGTCGACTGTATCAATTGAGTGGTCCTCTCAATTCAAAAGTTGTTGCGTTTTCTTTTTATAACAATTTGCTTTTTTTGGAATCTGTTCCTATTGCGAGACGTAGTAACGCCCTATTTGAACATTATGTCATCGAAAACGAGGGGTAACACAATGCATTTTGGG